AGAGGTCCAACTCAGAGCTGTGGAAGCCTTGACGTGTTTGCAGGCAGCGCGCTGAAAACAGGTGGCCTGCCGGGGGATTCGGCTCTCGGGTTTCGGGAAGTCTTCCAGGGCTTGGCACTGTGAGGTTGCAGTACGGGTGCTACGGCACTATGTATATAGATAAGGGTCCTAGATACTCGAGATTCCTTAAGGCTACTATAAGGATTATGAGGTTAAGGGTACGCTCAGCGGTTTATCATCAGTGTAAAACAATTGAGGTATTCATCCTGAGGATCTAGCAGTAAAGTTTGTAGCTCGATAAACCGCAAACATGCAACCCCTGATCCTGCAACCTGAGCCCCAAACCCTACGCAGACCAAAGCGTCCTAAGCCCGGGGCCTATCAAATTAATACACCGAACCTGTGAGACCTCGCGACACGCACGTGTCGCTGAAGCTGTTTGGTTATACAGGGCCTCAACACAGAAGTACATCGTAGAATCAGACCAAATATGGCAGCCTCAGTAACGACCAAGATTATTCCTGAAGTTCCTTGTAGTACTTACAGACTAATATGCCTTCTCCTACTGGTATATTTAATCCGTGGCTGGTGAGCCCACGAGCCGGCTAGGTCCAGAGATTCTGGTTATTGCTAATATTACCATTACGTACTTTCACTACTACTATTACTACTAACGTGTTTACTATCATTCCAATTAATCTTGGGACTTCCTTTTTGTTGCATTCCACCCCCCAAGGGTGCAACTCTCCAATGGACTGCGAACCTTCTAAAGTCCTTCTCTTAGTACCCTTCACTGTAGTACTTGTTATTATTGTAGCTACTTCAGAATACCGTTATTATAATTATTATAATGCCCCTTAGAGCACCCTCAAATCAAAAAGGACCCCTAGCATCGTACCCTGATTATAAATGCGATTGTTGCCCTTCCTAACCTGGTGCCCTAAATCCCAAACTATCGAAGTTTCTGATATCTCGGCGATGAGCTTCGTTTCCTTTAGTGCATGCCCCGTCTAGGGTGGGCCGACTGCTGCTTCTGCACAAAGAAGAGAGCCACTGTACATAAAAAAGTTGAAGCCCTACCCTTGAGCCCGAGCCGAGCCTAAATCCGGAACCCCGAAACCCTTAAATCCTAAACCCCTAATCGCTGAACCCTAAACCCTGCAGAAAAAGGCCCCATTGCACTTTTTAAAAAAAACCCTAAGCCCTTAAACCGCTAACCTCTAAGCACTAGAAAACCTTAAATCCTTGAGCCGAAGACCTCCTCTGATGCTGTGGCCGGGTGGTGGTCGGCGAGCGCCGCAACCCGTGCAGGCATCCAGGGTAATAAATATTCATCCAAGTTCATGGTTCCTGTAATGGCATGGGTCTATTGTAGTGTTGAAGGCTAAGCATCCGACGATTGTTTCAAGATTTTGTGAGTTTCACGGGACAGACACTTACATGCTTCCTTGTCGCAGCACTGGTTGGCGTGCGTAAACAGGTGCCACTCTCAATATCAGGCAGTAGCAAGGACACCAGCGGTTTCTACTGCCTCACGGATACATAAGGCCAGCTCAAAAGACCCTATGTCATAATAAATAAAATATACAACATAATGAAGACTTGTATACTCCGCAGCAAAACATACTTTCAGCATCGTAGGCATTCGAGTGTAGAATGCGCTTGAAGATTTTCTGTTGTGGACCGCAGTTGAGGACAGAAGCTACAGTTTGTTATAGAAAATTCGCTGATATGCTGTAGGCTAGCAACTCTCTTCTTAGAGAGTCTTCAGGCCTGGTTTCCTGCGGTAGTCGTGGCAGCAGCAGCGGTACTGGCAGTCGCCGTCGTAACAGTAGCACTAGCAGTCGCAAGACAGGACCAGCAGGAGCAGGAGGAGGAGTAGAAATACTGTTGCTACGAAGAATCCTGCATCGATTTCTCGACACAGGTCTCTCCCCCCCGCACCCCCCGAATCTTAATACTGAGCCCAAAGGCACCCAAATGGCGGCAGGCTCGAGTACTAAAAATCTCGGATGACCCGATGGCCTCTCGCGAATATTGAAATCGGGGCAAGGGGAGAAGGTGCCGAGGTCGTCGCTAGCACCGGCAGTAGACAGGTCATGCATTTTTTCGGCCCTCGTCCATCCACCGTAGTAGTAGTAGTAGTAGTAGTAGTAGTAGTAGTAGTAGTAGTAGTAGCAGTAGTAGTAGTAGTAGTAGTAGTAGTAGTAGTAGTAGTAGTAGTAGTAGTAGTAGTAGTGGTAGTCGTGGTAGTCGTGGTAGTCGTGGTAGTAGTAGTAGCAGTAGTAGTAGTAGTAGTAGCAGCCGGAGTAGTAGGTATATTCTGTAGCAGTAGTAGTAATGGTAGTAGTTGTAGTCGTAGTTGTAGTTGTAGTTGTAGTTGTAGTTGTAGTAGTAGTAGTAGTAGTAGTAGTAGTAGTAGTAGTAGTAGTAGTAGTAGTAGTAGTAGTAGTAGTAGTACTAGTAGTAGTACTAGTAGTAGTAGTAGTAGTAGTAGTAGTAGTAGTAGTAGTAGTAGTAGCAGTAGTAGTAGCAGTAGTAGTAGTAGTAGCAGTAGTAGTAGTAGTAGTAGTAATAGTAGTAGTAGCAGCAGTAGTAGTAGGAGTAACAGTAGCAGTAGCAGTAGCAGTAGCAGTAGCAGTAGCAGTAGCAGTAGCAGCAGGAGTAGCAGTAGCACTAGCAGCAGCAGGAGCAGTAGCAGTCACAGTAGGAGCCCCAGTAGCAGTAGCAGTAGCACCAGCAGAAGCAGCAGGAGCAGATTGCAGATTGCAGCAGGAGCAGCAACAGCAGCAGAAGGAGCTGCAGTAGGGAGTGTGGGACAGTCGTAGTCGACGTCCCCGTCGTCGTCCTCATCATCGTCTTGTGGTGGTGGTGACGGTGGTTTTGCCAGCGGTGTCTTCACAGAGCAACAAAATCAAACTTAGTGCACACAGAAACACTGCCAGCCATTCAACAAACATCGACATGTTGCGACAACGGTCCAAGACTAGGTTCCAGGAGCTGTGCATATACTGACATGCAGGACGCGACAGCCACCGCTGAGAAGGCGACTTAGGGTTGTAGGATGGACGGCTTGGGGATTAGAAAAGGGCTGTACCACAAGATTCCCTCAAGAAAGCCATTGTGAAAGCCTCTCAATTTTAAGCTAACCGAGGTTCTCTCGGATCCCCGCCGAGGTTTATGTCGGATCCCTGCATATCGCAAACCAGACATCCGTGACCTTCATACCACAAACGTGTCGAGCTTGTCAAGTCCCGCAAGCTCACTTCAATTTCCGAGCCATCGGATGCTTCATAGAAATCACACCCCGAAAAGGCATCCAAGAACCCTGAGCTTCAAAGCCCTTCCTGAAAGAAGCACCGCCACCAGTCTTTAAGATCTTCCCAAGGTGCGGCACTTAGGAAAGGCCTTCGTTGCCTAGTGTTGTTGGCAGAGGCCTTTCTCGCACACGCTCCTGCGGATCAAGTAAAAAGCCAGACTCCTGAACCCAACGTGGCGTTCTGTGTAGAGCCAGCTCGCAAGGAATCAGGGTTCTTGAGCTCAGCTCAGGAAGTTTAGGGTTCAGGGTTTAGGGTTCAGGGTGCAGGGGTCTATGGGTTCGTGGAAATTGTGATGTAGGGGCGAAAGACCTTAAGGTTTGATGGGTCTTGGAGTTTGGCGTTTGACCTGAACCATAGAATCATGGACCCTTAACGGGGTTGGGGAGAGGGGTAGGGGACTATACTTCCTTACATAGGCCTCATTACACCCTTATAGTAGGTTTCAAGGCCCCCTACCCCCTCTCCTACCCGTGTACGGGTGCTTATGATAGAAGCAAGTTAGGACTCGGGAAGCCCACGCGTCTGCATACGAACTACACAAGCCCCAGCCTTTTCTCAAAATTCCTCTTTGGTAATTCGCAATCGCCTGAGGCCCCAGGTCCCAGAATTTGTAAAGACCGTCGACTTGGATAAACAGGAACCACCTTCAGTAACATAGCCATCTAGAGTATGAGAACCCCAAAAGAATACATGCATGCGCCTGTCGTTCGGGGAGCTGATATTTGTTTGCCGCTTGCCTTCTTGATAGTGCATTCAGTCTCTCTTCGTTGTCTGATATTTCCCAACACTCTTTCAGGGATTAGCCGATTGATGAGTCCAACACATGCAGTGGATGATATGGATGTGTATGTGTATACATATATATATATATATCTATATATGTATGTATGCATACATTAAACACGCACACCCATGCATACATACATACATACACACGTGCACATGCCTACATGCTTGTATATGCGTGCATATGTCCTCATTTTCTGCACATACATACATTTGTACGTACATACATGCATGCATGCATGCATGCATGCATCATTCATGCATAATTACATACACACGTACATACATGCGTAGCTACATATTCACACACCTACAATCTAGAACATATGTATGTGTATACCTGCACAGTTGAGTATGCATACATAGTAGAATAGAACTATGCTCTGACACCCATGCACTTGCATTGGGCTCGGAGGAGAGGATCTGCGGCGTTTTTAGGACAAGGACGTTTGATATTGATATTGAGGGTTGCTAGCAGAATATCTGCAGCTTGATAAGAGGGTTAAGAGATGTACCCAGCATCGAAACAGCATACAAAAAGAATACTGCCAGTTCTACGTTTTTCTTCCAGCGCGTTGCATCTTGTTGTCGTTTTTGCACCCTGCCCCATACAACGTTCGTCTTTTCCAAGAACAGACAACCTGATTGCTGAGGTGCAGCGGCTGGCTGTGATTTGGAATAACCCCTGACTTTGCAGAGCCCTACCCCTCTGCAGAACAACAAGCCAATTCACAGCTTAATCCCGAAGCCATCCCATACTCCGCAGACAATAGCAGCCACTTTACAAGTCCTCAACTGCATGGTCTTACTTAGCCCTGAACCCTAGTCCCATCGCAGCTTGCCTTTGCCCCCGATTTTCTATCCGACTCCGACTGGGCCAGCTGAGACCCTGCCATGGCGACCCCCGGGCAGCTGCAGATGTACAACAAGCTCGAGGTGCAAGCAGTGTCTTAGGGTTTAGGGCTTGTGTGGGGTTTGGTTTCGGGTCTTATATTACCGGACTCATTTAAGTTTTATTGTCAGAGTTTTTGGGTTTATAGGGTGTAGGGTGTACGGGCTTCCATAATATGCATGTGTAGAGCTGGGGATGTGGGGTTTGGGGAGCTACACCAGCGTGTAGTGTCACAGAATACAGGGCGCCAGTATGGACCCTGAATAATAGTTGGATCTGCAATGCATTGCATTCAGAATGTTTCGGACAAACATCCCCGTTACTTCAAGAACATTTCGTCCTGTTGCAATGGCCTAGTCGTATAGCTGAAATCCTTCGGCAGTGATTTTAGTAGCACAGGGTATGGGTCCTGAATCATGGAGGTGTGTTAGGGTTTAGGTAGTTTAGGGAATTTTAGGGATTAGGGTTTTAGGGTAATGGTAGTGGTAGTCGTCGCGTCGTGGTGGTAGTCTTCGTAGGAGGAGGAGGAGGAGGAGGAAGTAGTTGAAGTGGTAGAACTCGTAGAACCAATAGAGCTAGTAGAAGTTGTAAAAGCAGTCGTGAGAGCGGTCTTGTCGGCAAAAGGATTTTTTTGTTTCTGCACAGCACAATCCCGCCAGAAGTCAGGTCCTGTGCTTCCCATTCGTCGGATGTTCATTGAGCCTGAGCTACTCCGAAGGTGGGGGAGATGTTCGGGCTCGACCACCGTGCCAAGGGGGTCGATGGCGTCATTCGTCGGATTCATGTGCCCCGTGGCAGACTTGATCTGAATCTACTAGAGAGGCCGGAATAGTTACCAATCTTATTCTTGGGTTCCTTATCATGATAACACAAACATGTACACCTAAAACCCTGTTCTAACAATTGAAGCCCCGATATTGAACCAACTATGTCTCCTGTGATTTGGAGCCTCTAGACATAGGCTTCTCGATGCGTGCATGCTGGTTGTTTTTGCAAGTCCCAGCGAGCAATTATTTCCTCTTCTGGGCTTTGGAGTACCATACTTTAATACTTTTCTGGGACCTGCTACTTACAGGGAGACATGTGAAATGAAAGTCTGTGCTTTTTTCTCCCTGGTTACTTCGAAGCCCAGTCTTAGGATGTTGAATCAAAGGGTTGCTTCCTCAACGGCCAGGATTCACCGTCCTAGTTGCATACCCTAGACCCTAAAAACCCCAAACCCTCAACCCCTAACCCCGGTACGGTAGTCTGACGAGGGTTCAAAAAAAAACAACCCCTAAACCCTACCTAAACCCTAAACATTTCGAAAAGAGTTGGCGGCCCCGGGTCGCAAAGTGTGAGCCTGGCCCTGCACACTTTGAAGTGCACAAGCTGCAGAGACATTTTGCCACCGGTACGTGCACCCCAAAATGCCGTCGGCTGCTGAAACAGTGCAGACCGGGCTTTCCGGATAGGAAGTACTTCTGTTGATGATATAAATCCTGCATTACCTTAAAGACCCTAAACTGTGGGAATTATGGGATACTCCTTGTTATGGGCCATGCAGGATTTGTATCATCAACCGTTCGGAGCCATGAACTTGGGGCTAGAGCACCACTCATCGCCACTCCCCTAAACCCTAAACCCTAAACCGAGGATGCAGGTGCTGGGCCTGGGCTGGCGGGCTCCCGGTAGACTCGAGACATTCTTGGAGGTTTGGGGATAGTTATAAGTGGTGTTATACGAGATCTTTAAGGGGTCTACAGGGGTTAGGGTTTAGGGTCTTATAGGGGTTTGGGAGATACTTTAGCATATCTTGTTTCTGAAGACTAGCAGCGGACCAGTAAACGCAGGAAGTTCTTAAAATCCAACCCCTAGACCCTAAACACCTCGACCCCTAAACCTCAAACCCTAAACCCTAAACCCTAAACCTTACCTTCGAGATCCCAGGTTGCCGGACGAGAAGGTCTCGCATGCCGTTCTTTTCCAGATTTGGCTCGACGCTTGTCTTGGAGGGTTTTTCTTTGCGTCCAGGGGTGTTGAACTTTGGGTTGGGGTTCAGGGTTTAGAAGTGCTATTCCGTATGGTTCCTTTTTATATTGTAGTATCCTTAAGGGAGGGGGGTCCAAGGGGGGTATATAGCCTAGTGATCCCTACTCCCTAGTACTCCCTAAGGTTCCCTTACAGTCCCCTAAGGATTCCTTATACCCTCCCCCCTTGAACCACCCTCCCTTAAGGATCCTATAATTCAGGGTTTAGAAGTGCTATTCCGTATGGTTCCTTTTTATAAGCCTAAACCCTAAGCCCTAAATCCAAGGCTGTATTCTCGTTGTCAAGGCCCTACCCCTAAACCCTAAACCCTGAACCCCTAAACCCCTAACGAGATCAAGAAACCCTGAACCCCTAAACCCTAAACCCCGAAAACCCTAAACCCTACACCAGCGGCCCAGGAAGACCACACATTGGGCAACATCCTCCGGATGGAGCTGCTCCGAAACGAGGCAGGGGGTAGGGTTTTGGGGGTTTAGGGTTTAGGGCTATTGGGGGCTTTAAGGTTCATGGGGTTTCGGCATTTAGGCCCGCATGCCTCGTTAACGGTTAGGGCTTTGGGGTTTTCAGGGTTTTAGGGCTTAGGTTTAGGAATTTACGGTCTAGGGTTTCAGGGTTTCAGGGTTTTAGGGCTTAGGTTTAGGAATTTACGGTCTAGGGTTTCAGGGTTTCAGGGTTTTAGGGTTTAGGGTTGTGCGGAGGGGCACAGGGAGCTAGACGGCTTGGGCACCTTTTCGCACCTTTACTGGCTTGGGGACATCAGCCGCCATCCACAACGCGGCCCAAAGTCGATTGGATACTGTAGAGGTCTTAATAATTACCTATACTATTTTTGGGGGGTCCTTTTGATAGTTATAGTAGAATGGGCCCGGAAACTCTATTCTGATTATTAAGGCCCCTATATTACGAGATTGCAATGGAGAGTGCCCTGCCTCTGCCATGAACCCCTTAATCGATTTAAGACACCGGAGGAGCGGCCGGTTTAGGGTTTAGGGGTTTAGGGTTTAGGGTTCACGAACACCAAGGCTCCCCAAAGATCCCCCGATGATTCACATGGCATCCGAAAGCAAGAAAGAAAGCGGGCGCACTAAACATGCGGTGGAGGCCCTTATAAAGAAGCTATATGATCACAAACATTATTCTGTAAGGTTCCTGTATATACGTATACTATAGAGCATTCTCCAATGTCCTAAATATTAAGGCCACTTCTTTCGAGGCTCTGGAGGATGCGACAAGGATTGGCATGCAAACCCCGGAGTCATGAACTCGCGTCCAAACTCCGGAACCCTGAGCTCGAAGCCCTCAACCTGACGCCGAAGCTCTCACCCCGGCACCCTCAACCCGAAACCCCAAACCCCTAAATCCCTGGAGTTTTTTTAGGGTTTAGAGTTTGGGGTTTAGGGTTTAGGGTTTTAGGGTTTAGGGTTTAAGCCATCAACCCGAAACGCCAAACATTCAGGGTTTTATTTTCGGCATCTGAGCGACGATCTGCTGCAGGCCGTGCTCTTTGCAGGGTACAAGGTCCCCCATCCGCTCAACAACATGAACCTGGATCCGCATTGTTGTGAAGCTTTATGGGAGTTTCCGACAAGTGGGGGTACCTTATTTTGGGGTGCTTATGATAAGGATCCTACTATTTAGGGTACTACACTAGGGTCCCCTATTTTCGGAAGCTCCCATATCCCTACGGCGATTGCTCCTGCGAATGTTCCTAGTGTTGCTAGTTTCGTTGTTGTCGTTGGCGGTGATGGCGGTGGCATCGGGGGTCATGGTGCTGGCGCTGGTGCTGGGGCTAGCGGTGCTGGTGGTGTCTAGATTGCTCTAAGTATTCTTTGTGATGTTGCTTCTTGTTATGAAGTATTCGCATTAGGCTGTAGCCTTCAGGTTTGCCGGGCAGACCCTCAAACATAATAACATCCTGATTGCGAGTCCGAGCCAAAAGTGTGTGTGTGTGTGTGTGTGTGTGTGTGTGTGTGTGTGTGTGTGTGTGTGTGTGTGTGTGTGTGTGTGTGTGTGTGTGTGTGTGTGTGTGTGTGTGTGTGTGTGTGTGTTTGTGTGTGTGTGTGTGTGTTTGTGTGTGTGTTTGTGTGTGTTTGTGTGTGTTTGTGTGTGTTTGTGTTTGTGTGTGTGTGTATATGTATGTGTGTGTGTGTGTGTATGTATGTGTGTGTGTGCGTGTGTATGACGGGTGCATCCATGCTTTTGTTGCATCTGCTGTTGCCCAAGAACCCCTGAACACCATTAGACCTTGCATGGAAGAGTTGGCTTAGGCTACGGGCCTTGCAGAATCTTACTTGTCAGCACAAGAGCAGCTCTCCACAGTTTCAGAACTCCGCTTTTCCGAACCAGGCAGGTCTTCAGCCTCTTGAGATACACTAGGCGCCTAATCCTCAGAAAGACGAAGATAGGGGCACGCAGAATCAGACTTGTGACTCGACTGAGGTTCTGGGCCATTTTATTTCCTCAACGAGCCTCTTCGTTTTAGGGGCCCCTAAATCCTACACCCCGCACTTCTAAAGCTCCAGGCCCTGAAGCTCTTGCTGATGGCTGAGAAGCAACGTAGCCCAAAACCCTAAACTTGGCCCTAAACCCCTCAAACCCTAAACCCTGAACCCCTAAACCCCTAAACCCTAAACCCTAAACCCCTAAACCCTAAACCCTAAACCCCTCAAACCCTAAACCCTAAACCCTAAACCCTAAACCCCTAAACCCTAAACCCTAAACCCCTCAAACCCTAAACCCTAAAGCCTAAGCCCAGAAATAGCCCTGGAGCCCGCTGTTAGGATCGAGCTACGGGTGCAGACCACGCCGAGTAGCACTCCGGAGGCTGATCTCCGCAACATTTAAAAACGCAAGCTTCAGGGTTGGGTTCATTTTTTTTTTTGGGGGGGGGTTTAGGGGTTTGAGGGTTCGGGTTTCGGATTTCGGGCTGCAGCACGTAACCTACGAGATTTCGGGGTGCAGGGTGGGTTTTCCAGTACTGCTTTCAGTTGTGCACCTCTCTGGAAGCGGTTGCCCCATACTCAAAACCCTAAACCCTAAAACCCTAAAACCCTAAACCCTAAAACCCTAAAACCCTAAACCCTGAACCCTAAAACCCTAAAACCCTAAACCCTAAACGGACGATTAATCAAATCTCTGGGGTGCATGTGGGAGTTTCCGAAAATAGGGGACCCTAATATAGTACCCTGAGTAGTAGGATCCTTATTTTAAGGACCCCCAAATAAGGTACCCCTAATTATCGGAAACTCCCATGTAAGCTTTATCTACCATCCTGGGCCCATGTCATTTGAGGAGTTGCTTGTTCATGTTTTCCAGCAGTCGGCCCTAAACCTAAAAACCCAAAACCCCTGGCCCCTGAACTACTTAAAGGATCATGGGACTTAGTAACTAGGGTTCTAAATAGGGTAACTATACTTATAACTACTTATAACCCCAATTAAGGTACTTATAACCATACTTACTAAGTCCCATGATCCTCCAAGTAGGCCTGCGAGTAAGGAAATGGGTAGCAGGAGAGTTGAGAGGTTAAGGTGTGTCTACTAAGGGCCGGTATACCCCCCAAAAATGCTGTTCGTGAGGCTTCCTCCAAAGCTATATTCTCAAGGTTCAGGCCCTGAATAGCGGGGGTTCAGCTCAGATAAGTCGACTTAGTAGCTGAGTGGATACACTTTACACTTTTGGGGATCATATTACCCACTATACAGCTAACACATTTTGGGGGCTTATGAACTCAGCAGCTAAGTCGAGTTAAGACTGAGGTTTATCGCTGAAAGGAGGAGGATCCCATGCTCGAGCAAACCGACAGACTGCTTGCTGCTCTGGTGGTGGTGGCGATGTTGGTGATGATGATGTTTGCAATATGGTGATGGCGATGACGATGGCGATGGTGATGATAATGATGGGTGTTCGTGATCATGACGATATTCTATGGTGTTTGGCGTTTGATTGAGTGCTTTCCAGCTTTTGATGAAACCACCATTGGAAGGCAGTGCAAGGCATCTTTGGAATGTGCAAGCAACTACTTAAAGGATCATGGGACTTAGTAAGTAGGCTATAATTGGGGTTATAAGTCCCCTAAGTGGGGTTACCCTAATTATAATAACCTACTTATAACCTTACTTACTAAGTCCCATGAGTCTGCAACTAAGCACACTATAGAGCTATGGGGGTGGTATAGTACTTCATTGGAGTTTTGCTCGTTATACCAAACGAGAAATCACCAAGCCTACCTAGGCCTCTAACCGATCCCTACACCCCTAAACCCTACACCCTAAATGGGAGTTTCCGAATATAGGGGACCCTAATTAATATAGTACCCTAAATTAGTAGGATCCTTATTATAAGGACCCCAAAATAAGGTACCCTAGTTTTCAGAAACTCCCAAATCCCTCTGAACCCTGAACCCTGAAGCCCTGAAGCGAGTTGGCACTGCGCCGCGCTGTCGCGAACCTGCGATCTGAATGTAAGAAGCTGGGCGCAGGGCGTTATGGAGGTAGGGGTCAGGGGGTTTAGGGTTTGGGGTTTGGGGCTGAGGGTTTAGGGGGTTTCAGCTTTAAAGTTTAGGGTGTTTGGGGTTCACGATTATTGATTTTGTATGATGTCTATGTAGATTTATGGGGGTGTTTTTAGGGGTTGAAGATGGTTTCTTAAGCGAGGGCGGTTCGAGGTGCTGGTGTTAGGGGTGTCGGGGGTTCATGGTGCAGGCTGTCCGACGTTTATTTGCATATACAAGTATGAAGTACAAATACATGTATACAGCTATTTTAACAAAACATAGGTACATGCAAGAACTGCATATGTTCTGCGTGCTCTTTCGTTTCATGGGGGCATGCCAGACGTTCAGAAGCTTCTCCCTATCTTCCACTGGTTGAGTTGAACAGTGTCCTGCTACATTGGGTCTTGTTGAGATCCGGTCGATCTGGCAGTGGACTTGTTTCTGTTAGTTACCTTCGCAGGTGCAGGTTCGATGGTGCAGTATCGAGTCGACTGGATTTCCTGTCTTCCAGCTTAGCAGGCACAAGGTTCGGATCATCATGACCAGCATCTTCACACCGATGCCACCGTCATTAGCATCGGCACTATCTTCGTTTGCACAGTTGCCATCGACAACCACAACATTACAATCATGAGACTTCTCAAGACATTATTGTCTGTCACACAACCACAGTTGAGGTAGTTACAGCCCTATGTATAGCAACCACTGAACTCTAAACCTTTCAATCATGAGAAAGCCTGCTTCTTCGCCTTGCACGCAATCTGCTTCTAGCTGCCCATGAACCTTCAAGGGTTCAAGTTCAGTAGCCCCACTCTTTTTGAAAGCCTCATCAAGAACCCCTGGCCCTAAACCCTGAACCGCAGCCAAGGAGCATGCTGAGCCAGTTCGACGAGGCCCTGGGTGGACGGAGTGTCCGCAAGAATTGAAAGATTCTGGGGTTCTGAAGCTGCTAGCAGCTCCGGCTTTTGCGGTCTCACGGGTGAGGGTTGAAGGTTTTGGGTTCACGATTTGTCTTTCCGGGTGTTGAAACGCTGGAGTCCTGTCCTGGGAAGGAGGCATATCTGGAGAGGAGGTCAATAGTCCTTGCCCTACTTGGAGGTTCATGGGTAGTTATAAGTGGGGTAGCTAATATTCTAACGCATATGATGGGACTTATAACTCTACTTATAACTAGCCATGAACCTCCAAGCAAGGGCACATGGACCAAATAGTATATACATTGGCCTTAAAGTAGTCCCTACATATAGCTACATTGGGGCCCAAAGTACATACTCTTTGGGTTCATGGACCCTTAGGGTTGGTGCCACAGTTATCAAGAGATCTCCGGTTCGAAAATTGGGAGTTTCCGAAAATTAGGTACCTTGTTATTTTGGGGTCCTTATAATCAGGATCCGACTATTTAGGGTACTATTCTATATTACTCCCAACTCCGTTCGCCGAGACTTTCTGCGTCGGTAATTTTGCCTTGCAGTATAGCAGCGAGGAAGTGTGCTGCTTGGAGGCCTTCATATTTCAGTAAGCTGCTTTCAAAAACTCTCAAGCTCTGAAGCAACTCGCAAAGTGTTACGGACGGAAAATGGACCGCAAACTATCCAACGGAAAGCTGCAGGTGAAGGCCCGTGTTGTGAGAACAACCCTAAACCCGCTGAGCCCCAAACCCCTTTTTCGGTGCAGGGCATCCATGATCTGGGTGCTGACAACTTGCTGGAGATCGACGACGAGAAGTCGGACCTTCAGCATCTCACGACGTCGGGCTGTTTCAGTATAATACATCCTAAATAGTAGGATCCCAAGAAGGGAACTCAAAAATATTGAGTTCTTTTCTGTATCTTCCGGTAAGATGCTGAGCAGGTAAGCCGTATGTGAAAACAAGATTGGCTGTTCTGGGCCTGGGATCTCATCTAGCGTTGTGAATTTTGAGTTTGGTTACCTGTACAGTGTAACTAGAGAACGGTGTCTGCAGTTGAGGGTTCGGGGCCGGCGCCAAATTCAGTGGAGATCTAGCATTCTCATACCACGCGCGCTAAAGCCCTGTGAATGCCCCAACTTAGCACTATGCTTACATGAAAACATGAAGGTTAAGTTTTGGGATGGCAAAACCTTGGTGCTTGTCGGGATGCTTAAGTGGAAGTCTAGTCCCTATAGACCCGAAGCCTACATCCCAAGTTGCGCACATTGAGCCCTCAACCGGAAACCTTAAACCAAAGAGCCCGGCAGCCCTTGATTGAGAAGATGTGCTTAGCTCTGCTAAATTTACGTCATGTCGGTCACATTCCTTAAGGCTTTCAAACAGGAGCTGAAGCCTGTACATAGGCCCTTTGATGTTTGAGCCGCTAAACCAAAATGGTAGGATCAATGGCCATTCTTACTATGGAGTGGTGGTATGGATCCTAGGTAGGCCTTTGGGACAGTTTTGATTTCCTCTACTGCGCTACGAGGATCTTATTCACAGACATTTTTCAAAGGCTTCAAAAGGCCAACCTAGAGCCAGGGGCCTGCATGAGTTTACGAAAAGTGTTCCGCACCGTGATGATACCCGGTCTAGAGCAATAAAGCCCGAACCACTACAATCTTGTTGCCATCTCAGTTATGAATCAGTCAATCAGTCAATCAATCAGTCAATCAATCAATCAATCAACCAGTCAATCAAGCAACCAAACAACCATTCTGTTTTGTGTGCCTACCAATCTATCCATCGAGCTATGTGTCGATTTACCTCTGTCTGTCTGTCGGTCGGTCTGTCAGTCTGACTGTCTCTCTGCCTGCCTGCCTGCCTGCCTGCCTGTCTGCCGGTGGGTGTGAGTGCGGGGAGCTTGCATGAAATGATCCGTTTGCACAAATCCTTACGACTATATCCAAGCTTATCCGTGCATCTACCCGTGCGGGCTCTCTTATTATTATATAGCTTAAATTCAAAGACAAGAGCCCGCTCCCTGAAGCCAACATCCTCAGAATGCTGCAGGACCATCGGCACCCCACGCGCCAAGCCCTTGACCCCTGATCCCCAAACCCCAAATCCTAAACCCTCAACCCTAAACCCAACACTTCATCAATCCCTCAATCCCGTGCCAGTCTTTGGCCTGAGCCCTTAACCCCACTGAGTGCCTTATATACAACAGAGCAAGGACCCTGAGCCAGGCATAGCTCTCTAGCGTCACAAGCCCTAAGCCTGTGGCTAGTGTCCTACAAGTTCTCAATCCCAAATTGAAAAGGAGCAAGCTTAGCCTCTGAACTTGCGAGCGTAGTGCTTTGATTGCAACCTTGATGACTCAAGTTTAGATTGCGTCCTGGGCTTTGAAACCGACTAAAGCCTAAAGCCATTCTAAAGCATTAAAACCTAGGCGGAGTCTATGGCCATTCCGAAGCCCTCTACCCCGTAGCTGTCAGAATTGAGCGGGAGCTCCCTTTTTTACAAATGTGGTGCCACTCTTTCTGGTGTTTGACAGTGGGCTGTTGAGCTGTAGTACACCTGGATGAAGGGAAGATTTGCCTTCACTTCCCTTGGCATTCCATGAGAAAGCGCATCTTAGAAGGCTGGAGAAGTCGCCGAAGGGAGGCTACGCAGGGGTGCAGGACCGGGCGATCAATCGCATCTGTTGGTTTTGAGTTTTGAGTATTGCAGACTAGTGAGTCGTCATGCTCCTATGGGATGTTGAAGTTGCAACAGTACAAGTAGCAAGCAGAAATAAGGCTGAGTTGTTACAATCACCCACCACCATCACCATGGCCATCACCATCACCGCTGTCACCCTCAGCAACAACAACAACAGTGGCTGCCTGAGTTCAGGGTTGGATTGGTTTTGACCTACCTATTGTGATAGCAGCATGATCTCACACTTGGTACATCTACGCCTGCTGCCCTTTGCATGGTCTTACAGTATGTGCTTGTTCTCCCACTGTCTGCAAGCTTCCGAGCTCCTGAACCCCTATCCTTCGGCATGCACAACTGTGCACCCTTGACAACTTTTTGAGGGTTGGGGTCCTCCGAAATCTCGGCTTTGCCCCGTCTTGGTCTTTGCCGCGAAAGACCCCAGGACACAGATTTGGGCTACAGCCCAAGCGACGAGGACAACCTCAACAACCGCTTCCAAGAGCAGCTTGAGGCCCCTGGAAAGGACTACTAGGACCCATAGTAGGCCCTTATTCCCTTTTTGAGGGTTTAGGTTCCCTCGTAGCACCCTTTAACCCAAAAAGGGCACCCTTTTTATTCCTCGGCTACTCTTGGGTCTAGGAAAGGACTACGAATCGGATGTGGTGCATAGGTCATAGGAGGCCAAAAAGGGGTTTTAGCCTATGGGGGTTTCGTAGGGATTAGGGTTCCCATATTCAGGTTCATATTAAGGAATCCCTACCCCAAGAATCTGAAACCCCCTCCTTTTGGCCTCCCATCAATAAGGTAAAGGCGCCGGAGTCCCTAAACTTGAAGCCCTAAGCTAAGGCCCTCAAAGCATGCAGACCCCTGAGATGCAATGCTCCAGAGTTTGGTTTCAAGTTAGTCGTAGAGTAGGTAACCTTTAACCTTTTTGGGTAGTATAGTCCCTATATAGTCCTATATATAACCAAAAAGGTTAACCTTTAGTTCCCCATGATACCCGACAACTAGCGTTCCAGGTTAGTATGCAGCTCAGAACTTGGCCCCGCATACTGTGCCGGGCCGAAGTGCAGAATCCACTCAGAAGTCCAGTTGTCCATCGCACTATACTAGGATGCCCAGTAGTACCCTTATTCCCTTTTTGTAGTCCTAGGTTCCTTATAAAGTTACCCAATACCAAAAAGAGAGGCCTTTTTATTCTTAGGTTACTGGGTATCCTAGTTAACGTGGGTAACGAACCAAGGGAGTGAGACATGAGCGGTGAAGACGTTGCCTGGAACAAGACAGGCGCTGCTGGTTTTAGAAAACCTCAGTCGTCGTGTTGAAGGTTCAGGGTTTAGGTTTAGGTTGGTTTAGTGAACTATGACATGCCCCATAGTCTGTCATCCTTGCCCTAGTTCAGATACCAGATACCTGAATGGGTATACAATACATGGTTAGTAACCTAATTACTATTTAGGTTGTCTAGGGTTCTTGGAAGCAACGATCTGGTGCCAGGCTTTTGAGCAACGACACGCAGCTCGGCTGCGAGAAACACCTCGGCCTGACTAATTCCGAGCATTATTCCTTTTCTCCGGTTCCCTATAAAAGCAGACGTTGATATACCATTCAAGGCACCTGAAATTGGCTTGGGTCGGGGTTTGAGGAAGAAGACCTTACAGACCAGCAGGGTGTACGTGCTTAGATGTTGGAGTGCATGGTTCGGGGTGCAGGTGTTGGATTGGAAGGGTTCACGCTTTGAGTTGGAATTCAGGCCTTGACTCGTAAGCTCCCACCACCACCCATCACCACCTATCACGACCCACCACAACCCACCACGACCCGCCACCACCCGCCAAAACAAAGCAGCAGAAAGCACCACCCAGCACCACCCAGCACCACCCAGCACCACCCACCAGCACCAGCACCAGCACCAGCACCAGCACCAGCACCAGCACCAGCACCAGCACTACCACCACCACCACAACCCCAGCACCGGCACCAGCACCATCAACAAACAATCAGAAAAATAAGCAAGCAAACAAGCAAGCACACACTCAAATAAACAAACAGACAAACAAGCAAACGAAAGAACAAACAAACCAACAATCAAACAAACAACAAACAAAAACAAGCAAACCAAAAAAATCAAGCAAACACATAAACGAAGAAGCAACAGCAGCAACAACAACAACAACAACAACAACAACAACAACAACAACAACAAAACAGCGAGTAGCAGCAACGGCAACAGTTGCAGTAGCCGCAATCGAAGCAGGAACAGCCACCGAAACCGTAGCCGCAACGGTATCCGTGACTCTAAGTGCAACTGCAACTGTAACTTTAACAGCAACAGCAACCAGCACCAGCACCTGCACCACCACCAGCACCAGCCCTTGCACCACCACCACCAGCACTGCCAGCACCAGCACCAGCTCCACCACCACCACCACCACCTCCACCACCACCACCACCACCACCACGATGTTTGACCGGTGTGCAACCTTGTGCAACCCCCCCCCCCCCCTGCGTTGCCCTGTAGGGCCTGGATTCACGTGCGTGAGTTGCATACAGCCTCGAAGCCCTGAACCCGCTCCTTCCTATTCAGCAGACGCAAGGGCCATGGCGCTTTTGGGTTTAGGGTTCTAGGGTTGAGGCGAGGAATCACAGAAGATGATGTTCCCGGCTCCTGTGCACACTTGTAGGTAGTTGTAGTTTTTGTTATCATGTCCTGTGCTCCTTTGAGTCTGCATCTGAGCCCTGAAGTGCCATACCATCGCGAGAGTTACGCTCAGGCCGGAGCATTCAGTCCGGAGTACCTGCCGACGTCGCTGCCGCCGGAGGATGATGAGTAGATGTCGTGATTGGGTCTGGCGCAGAATGTGGATGTCTGTGGGCAAAGGTGGCGCAGCGGGAGGGTGGTTGTCGTTTGGGGTTCAGGATTTGTGCAAAGAGCTCGAGAACGAGGTTTTGGGATGTGTTGGGCATTCAGGGTTGAATTTCTGCATTTTGTACCCCTTATCTAGTAGCACATCGCCGCTACAAACGCTTGTGCACATCTTGGGGTGGAGCTTTGCTGCATGAATGGGGTAAGATCTAAGGTGGTTGTTAAACCAGCAACCATACAGCCAGCATGCTCCTGGCCTAGAGGCTGGCGCGTGACATCCGAGGAAGGTGCTTTGTATCCAAATCAACTCGGCTACTGCCATCATGCTCCAACATTGTCACCGACGGGTTCATGATTGATACTATGATGGTAGTTGGGTGTTCATCAAGAGGTGAACACCCCCGTCCAGAAGGTGGTGCTATGACAAAACACCGCACAACGCAACATCCGGTCGTCATTTGCCAAACGCCCAGCAACGCGGCGTGATGATGTGAAACTCGTATCGCGGAACGACTAGTTGAAGGTATAACAGCAGCCATACGTGCCCCGTAGTAACCGTAGTACTCGACTCCCAAACATATCCAAAATCAGAAAGTGCGCGAGTGAAGCCTTCAATCCTAGCGGTAAACGTGCAAGCCAGGCACAAACCGACCATATAGTATATAGCAAGAAAGCAGCAACCCGCGCTCATGTTCTAGAGAGTCCCGGATTCAGGGTTTGGTACCGACCGTTATTGAGCGCTTAAAACTCCGCTGTGCGGCAGCGTTAGGCAGAGGAGTTGTAGTGCACTGAATCGTGGTGACTTGGTCTGGAGCCCTCTGCCGAGGAACTCGCCCTTCGTTTATGTCACCAAAAGGCATGTCAATAGACGTACCCGTGATGAGTTGGGAAAAAGATGACAATCTGGGTCCTTCTGGCCCCAAACCCCAGTCCCAGAGCCCTAAACCCCACGCCCAACACCATCAATTAGCTTTGCGAGCCCTTGAAGCCCAAGGACAGCCTGAAAATCCGTGTAGCAAGCCTTGTTTTCCAGGCAGGTTTCCAGATTTTACCAAGACAACAATGCCCCAACCTGCGAATTCGAAAAAGGCAGAGAGCACCTGTAAATCCTACGAGTACAATACTTGTACTCTAATATAATATAAAGCCATGTAGTACACTAGAGCAGGTGAGCAGTCTATGAACCCTACCTCCTGATAATCTTTTATCGCCGAGCCTGTGCTATTTCAACCCAAGGTGTTATTGAAGTAGCATGCAAGTGGCTTGTTCACGAGAGCTGCAAGTCAGACGAACACAGTCAGAAGCACGGTTCTGAGCAAATATGTAGCTGCAGTTATGCACAGCAGGCAGCAACGGCGACAATGACAGGAAACACTGACATCCGTGATAGCAGATAGCAAGCAAGCAGTCACCATGGTAATAGCTGCACAGTACGGCGATAGCGACAACCAGTACGATGACACTCTGTAACATCCCCGCATTATATCGAAGCATTGGACGTGCTTGTTCGGCGCCGGTCGCAGCGCTTTGCAATGGCTGCCTGGACAAAGTGAGACTTCTATAGGTGTAGTCGCAGTATTCGTAACGCTTCTCTTATACTTGTAAATACAGTAACGCCCCTTCAACACCGTAGTCTAGTTAGGCTAGTTGATTATGTACTACGGACCGTGGGCCGTCGTGGTGCATTATGCATTTCCTCTTCTTGTTGGTACTGTCCGAGTGGTCTTCGGAGAAAGTGTGGCCACCGCAGTATATGTGTTAGTGATGTCTGATGTGTGGTACAACTATAAATTCCACTCGTAACGCAAAGCGGTTTAAGTCAGACTATACTTGTTTCCGAGCGTGCATAGGTTGTTCTGTGTGAGCGACAATCTGCTGACATGTACCCCGGTGCGCTGCAACGCAACACATCTCATGAAACGTGTGGTAGTGCAAGGCCACAGCGTACCATCCGAATTCAAGTATCACGCTGTAGAGACTGTCTTATATTCGATCTTCAACAACTTGTTTCGCAAAAGGTCAACAGGCACAAGCTTCTCAACCAGCTTGGATGATGCTGTGTATGCATCTGGCAACTGCAATCTACGTATACCGCCGCCTATACATTCTGCTCATATCATGAGATCCCGAGACGCGTTTCCGCACAGTATTGATTATAGAATAGGATGTTGCGGGCTCCTTCTTTTAATTATCATACAATCTACCCCCCCATGCAAGCCTTATTCTAATTATTAAGGCCCCTATACTAAATCTTAAACTACCAAATCCTGCACCCTGGACTACACCTAAGCCGCCCTGAATTTACTAAACCCCTAAACCGCTAAACCCTAAGCCCAAAAGCCCTAAACCCTAAACCTGAGGCCAGCCCTAAACCCTAAAACCCTAAACCCAAAATCCAAGCCCTAAACCCCAAACCCCAAACCTATGATCTCAGGCCAAAAAGCGACCAGCTGCTTCTCCGGTCAGGGGCTTGCGCTTTGCGGTTGCACTTTCACCTACGTGGCTTCTCTTTCCAGTAGATACCAGGAGAAGCGAGGTAGTAGTAGTAGTAGTAGTAGTAGTAGTAGTAGTAGTAGTAGTAGTAGTAGTAGTAGTAGTAGTAGTAGTAGTAGTAGCAGTACGGTTGATGATATAAATCCTGCATTACCTCAAGGACCCGAAAGTATGGGAATTGTGGTATATTCCGTATTACGGGTAATGCAGGATTTATATCATCAACGGTAGTAGTAGTAGTAGTAGCAGTTGTGGTGGTAGTAGTAGTAGTAGTAGTAGTAGCAGTAGCAGTAGCAGTAGCAGTAGCAGTAGCAGTAGCAGTAGCAGTAGCAGTAGCAGTAGCAGTAGTTCGTAGGACTAGTACTCACCATCTTCGTTATCCCATGATCATCATTCCGACAGCAGCATCACCACCATCCCATGTATCGAAAATGTCGCCGTGATAATCCGCATGATGATGGCCACACAAGCATGACTGACATGCTGTTACTAGTTGTGGTGCTGGTGCTGATCGTCAATAGTACTTGGAGGTTCATGGGTAGTTATAAGTGGGGTTATAAGTGGGGTAACAATATTTATTACCCATATCAGGGGACTTATAACTTCGACAAAAAGTTGGGAATCGCGGGCCCACTGGCACATCATACATGAAACGAAAGGCGTGTATGTAATTGTCTGCGATTTCCGTATCATGTCATATCGATACCTCATCGCGTCGAGGCTTCCGACCCATGCCCCTAAACCCCAACCCCCCAAAAGTTTAGGACCATCCTTAAAGCATTTTTCCCCGAGCTTTAAACCCTAAACCCTGGACCCCTAAACCCTAAACCCCGATGTTGTTTAGTCGAAGGCGGCTTCGCCGGCCTCCAAGCGAAGACGCGCAGGCGACGAGGAGCTTGGTATTCAGGGTGTACGTAAAGGATCATGGGACTTAATATAATAACTAGGGTTATGATTTGGGTAACTATACTTATAACTGCTTTTAACCCTAATTAAGTTACCTATTTGCTTACTTACTAAGTCCCATTAACCTCCAAGTAGGGCGCAGGGTTCAGGGTTTAAAGGCTTTTAGATTCAGGGTTTCGGTTTCAGGGTTCAAGGTCTGTTTGGGGTTTAGTAATTCGGGTAACTAGGGGACCTGTGATTGGAGCGCAAGAAACGGTCGAAGACGTGTGGCTGTCTTGTCTATAGTCTCCTCAGGAATTACTTTTTTTTGGTTCCAATAAAGCCCAAGAGAATATTAAACGTATCATTTTTATTATGGTTCTAAGGCCTAAAACCCTAAACCTCTAAACACTAAGACCTGAGACCTCTGAACCCTGAGCTCCCTAACCCTTGAAACGCTAGAGCCCTCGACCCCTTGACTTTTCGAGGATATCCTAAGGAGGGTATAGAATCCCTATAGATCCCTTTAAAGTAACCCTAAGAACCCTAGATTAAGGGTCCCTCCTCTTCCCCTTTGAGTATAGTTGTTGAGTGCTCAGGTGTTCTTCAGTCGCAGGGTTTGCACGATTTAGGGTTTTAGGGGTTTTGGGGGCTTAGGGCTTTAGGGGTTTAGGGATGTAGGGTTTAGGGTTTTGGGGGTTTAGGGGTTTAGGGCTTTAGGGGTTTAGGGGTTTAGGGATGTAGGATTTAGGGTTTTAGGGGTTAAGGGCTTAGGGCTTTAGGGGTTTAGGGATGTAGGGTTTAGGGTTTTGGGGGTTTAGGGGTTTAGGGCTTTAGGGGTTTAGGGATGTAGGGTTTAGGGTTTTAGGGTTTTAGGGGTTTAGGGGTTTAGGGGTTTAGGGGTTTAGGGTTTTAGGGTTTTAGGGGTTTAGGGGTTCAGGGTTTGGGTCAGACGAACAGTTGGACTTAGCTACAAGTTGCACGGGGGCTCCGCTCCAGCCTGACGCTCCTGCCAGTGTAGCATGTGGTATGCCGTAATATGCCCTAAGCTTGGGGGTGTTCTCTACCATCATTTGTAGGCCTCTACTATGACAGAAACCCTGGCGACTCCGTGCCGGCAACGGGGCTTACAACAGAAACTGTAACGGAACGTAGTGGAGCTGTAACGGACCTGTAAAGGAGCTGTGGCGGAAGCTGTAACGGAGCTGCAGAAGCTGCAACGGAGCTGTAACGGACCTGCTACGGAGCTGTAACGGAGCTGTAACGGAGCTGTAACGGAAACTGTAACGGAGCTGTACAACGGAGCTTCAGCAGAAGCTGTAACGGAGCTGTAATGGACCTGCAACGGAGCTGTAACGGAAGCTGTAACGGAGCTGTAGCGGAGCTGTAGCAGAAGCTGTAACGGAGCTGTAACGGACCTGCAATGGAGCTGTAACGGACCTGCAACGGAGCTGTAACGGAAGCTGTAACGGAATTGTAACGGAGCTGTAGCAGAAGCTGTAGCGGGGCTGTAACGGACCTGCTACGGAGCTGCAACGGACCTGCAACGGAGCTGTAACGGAAGCTGTAACGGAGCTGTCACGGAGCGGT